TTTAATACCTTATCCTTTTCCATAAGGATCCTTAGTATCCTTTTCCATAAGGATACTATAAAGTAAAAAAATATTTAAATAACAAGAGTGCGTGGACTTTACCTGCCTAGCTCATGTGTCATGTAAGCTATAAATTACTGTATTGGATTGAAAAAGAGGCTGACAAAGGTGACTGAGTTTCTTCCGCCACTTCTTCTCAGCACCAGCCCATATGTTGTCCCGAAGTTGTGGTAGGGCAAGCTATGGAGCCTTCACATGTCTCATAATCTTTTTGCCCTACAGCGCTTCGAGACCAACATATTTTGGCAAGTGCTGAAAAGAAGCACCGCAACAAACTCAGTCACCACTGACTGTCGGTTAAAATAGAGAATAGAAAAAATGGTAGTAGGTACTAATAAACAAAGTAGTGACGTGCTGATATCTAGACTTATAGATAAGACACTATAATACTTTCTGTAATTAAGGTACTCCGCGAGGGTTGCACAGCCAGCACCTACTTCATAAAATACATCCCTGCCTGACACCATGAGCCACCATGACCGCCATACATCAACCCACAGCCCAGGGCCGGATCGTGAATTTGTGGGGCCCTGGGCTGAAACTACTTGGGGGCCTATCTTAGTACCTACTCAACTAATAGCCATGCCAAAAAACTGTTTCTATAATGATATATTATTCTTATACATACAGTGTGAGTCACGATAAAGTGCACATATGAAAATAGGTGAAACTAGACCTATTTTTATAGACAAAAAAGAAGTCAAAATTTTTTTTTAATTTTTTTCTGCCTATTACTTACGTTAGGTAACGTAAGGGCCCCGGGGTAACAAGGGGCCCCCAGATCCCGCTAAAAAGTAGGCAATAATTTGAAAAAAAAAAAGTAGTTGTTTGTAAAGTCGGTTTACGGACGATATTTTTACGTGACAACGTCATAAGAAAATATTGATTAAAAATTGCATACTAAATTTTTGAGATTTAAAAAAAAAATTCTGCCAATTACCTACTTCTTGTAAAGAAAACAAACATTGGTTTTTACAAAATTAATACGATAGAAAATAATACAAAGTAATCAAAACCACCTGTTATGGGGGCATTTTTTGGAGAAATTTATCAAATAACCAAAAAAAACACGAATTAAAATGCAGATTTTTCTCAAAATGTATAATTTTTTTATTGTTTGTTGCCATTTTCTGAGTATTTTATGTATTTTTTTAGTATCGCCTGTTATTTAGCATTATTATTGTTTTTATTTTATCAGGATATACCTCTTAGTTTAAAAGTTATTACGTTTTCTTTACAAGAAGTAATTGGAAGAAAAAAAATTTTAAAAAATCTCAAAAATTTAGTATGCAATTTTTAATCAATATTTTCTTATGACGTTGTCACGTAAAAATATCGTCCGTAAACGAACTTTACAGACCACTTTTTTTTTTAAATTTATTGCCTACTTTTTAGCGGGATCTGGGGGCCCCTTGTAACCCCGGGGCCCTGGGCTGCAGCCCAATCAGCCCATAGGTAGATCCGGCCCTGCCACAGCCCCGCAGTATATCACGGACACAGCCGCGTCAGGCGACCGCAAAACATTGTCTATGGACCCGCGGGGCTGCCATATTTTACGGTAGCATTAAATTTAGTTGTGTAGGATGGAGACAGAAGATAATTTAATTAAATCTGGACCATTTTGTGCCTGTATGTCATTAGTAGACAAAATAGCAGAATATAGCCATAAAGGTAATATTATGTAGGTCCAGCTATCCTCACTCTTGTAAACTAGGGACTACAGAAAAGGAAAAGAGTTTGATAGGTACTTCATGTTTTACCTTCACAGCTTTGTGTCGGGTCTGCAAATCAGTCCAGTGCATTTGGATCACAATCGCATTATTCATTCACAAGCACTCACATCTACGGATGTAACTAATGCTCACTGAAATAATTATGGCCGCTCGCTAAATTCAGCGAGTTACAATATGAATTTATGATTTATAGCCTGACCAGGAACATAAAAACCCTGGCATAGAGGCGCTTCAATTGCATTTGATAGTGCAACACTGAGTACAGTCGTACCTGTGTTAAATTAATAGGTTACTTTATGTATCAGGATTCAGGATTACGGGCTAATTTGATATTTTCATAAATAAACGGAAAAAAATTATTATAAGTAACCTGGTTTAAATAAATTAAATGAAACCATCAATCGAGCTAGTAGGATTTATTTTATTATACATCAATAATCAAATTCAGAACTTGAATATTCAACTGCAATGTCTGCTCATGAACGCTTCAAACTCGGTACTTCTTTCTCAATTCCATAAAATTCAACACTTAGAAAGTGACAAAAAACTTTAAAATAGGTAGTTGAAACAAACCACAGCTAATTTTCATAGTGGACTATACGATAAACATGTCAGTCAATTTGACAACCTTTGTCGGAAACATTATTCAATGAAAATATTGTCCGAACCTTTTGTATTTCTCTTCGACAAATACTTTAACACATTGTGAACCACTTTTCTTTCACGACTATTAAAAGATTTTAGCAATTTAATTCAAAAAATCAATTGCGCACATTTAAAATAAAGTTTGTTTACACTTTGACAGCAATAGACTGACATGCAAGGTGACATTTCAATGAAGTTTTCAGTTACTGATGCCATTAAAAGAAATTAGTACCATTAGTTTTCCGCAACATGGCGAGGGTTTTTATGTTCCTAGTCAGGCTATAACTAGAATTATAAAGACCCACGTGCAGCGTGATTTTACAATATTACAGATGCAGGAATACGTATGCCCGCCTTTTTGTTACATTTTCACAGCTCAACTGCTACAATCAAGGCTAAAATTTTGTATGGGTATACTTGTCACAAGTTTTTAGTTCGTTCGTTTCAGCCAAATGACTGCTGGGCAAAGGCCTTCCCCAAAAACTTCCAGTAAATGTTTAAATATACTCTAAAGACATTCTGTGTTACAATCTGTTTCCCAAACTTTGCCTCGTTGTTGGCAAATGCACAAGCCGTTTGTGGCATTTATAAAAAGTCATTCTGAGGCACAAAACATGTAACAATTCACAAGGTGGACAACGACCTCATAAAAGTAGCAGGAAGGCGCTGGATGCAGGCCGCTACCAACCGCGCGATTATGAAAATCATTGGGTCAAGTCTATGTTCAGCAGTGGACATCCTGCGGCTGAAATAATGATGATAATGATGATTCTGTGGCAATATTAAATCAATAGAAACAGCTGCGTTCGAAAGCACATACGGAAAACATCCAAACGCCAAAGATATTCGTTCGTTCGTTCGTTTCTGCCGGAAGACGTCCACTGCTGGACAAAGGCCTCCCCCAAGGATTTCCACAAAGACCGGTCCTGCGCAGCTCGCATCCAGGCGCCTCCCGCGACCTTCACCAGATCGTCGGTCCACCTAGTGTGAGGCCTGCTACGTCTTCCGATATATTTTTAAAAAACTTTAAATTTGCCTACTTCCCTACTCCATCTACCGTCGAAAGCGTTCCATTATTTACCGTCAGCATTACCCGCCCGGGTCAAATTGATGGGTCATAACAATTGGTGGGCGCGGGCCATAATGCCCTCTGGAATGGTGCCGATACGTCTTCCAGGGTAAAGTGGTTACAAATGCGGTTTAGCTTGACCACTGGGATGGGTGGGTGAGGCAGAAATAAAGCTGTGTAAGTCACTAACAATTTTTTTTAATACTTTGATGCACACACAAGAATGTTCAGTACCAAAAGGCGAGCTTAATGCCATAAGTCATTCTCTACCATAAAATTGTTTGGTGTGACTGAATTAGATATCAATGCAGAGCCAATAATATTGATGCAATAATATTAAATTTTCCGTTAAAATTCTCAAGGATGGTACCATTTAAATTTAATAATAGAAAAAACAACCCCCAAGGGTGGAAAATTGGGGATGAACTTTTTTATACGCAATATTTTTAATTTTTAGTTTTTTTTTTTGTGTTCACGCATTTGAAGTCGGTTATATTTAAAAAAAAGTTAATTATGACATAATAAAACGTAACAGAACATACAAATCTGAAGTCTCCCTTATGTAACAAAAAATCCATGTTTCCTCTCACACCTCAGGGACTGAGTTATTCGCTAGACTTAATAGCACAGAATAATAAGATTTTCTTCGCGAAGGTATTTAAAAAAATGTATGTTCAATGTCGTTAACAATATTGTGTAATTTAGCTTGGCTCAAGAGTCGAGCACCATTTTGTTGACAAACGCCGTGATCGTTACTGCGCTGAAGCCATTGGGCTTCGGTAAAATGATGTGTGACGTGAGGTGCCAAACTGCGGAAAATAAATACAATGAATAAGCATGAATTATGTTTTGTGTTTCAATTATTATTCAGGCAGTTAAAAAATACTGCACAGTATTAATTACACCACCGTATTTACATATTTTATGTATAGTTTATTGTCTTTACAATGCAAAAGGGTGAAGAATACACATGCGTGCGTCAATACTCGCTCGTGATTGTCCTGTCGATTTGGTATCTCAGGAAGTGTAATCGAGCGTGTTTGGTTTTCGATGCAAACTCACGGAGATGAACAGGCCTAGTAGCCGACGTGATCCATAACCCTTCGTGCGCAGATCATACACATTAGCGAACACGATATCAGTCAATTTCGGGTTATGTACGGCGCCGACAGCCGGCGACATTAAATCTCAATTAGGATCCATCAGTCTTACTGTTAACTCTGTCGGCGAGACACACAGGCTTCTAGTTTGGTGAACAGTGGCACTAGTCTGTTGGCAATTGAATAATTTAATTAATTTAGAAAGTACGAAATAAGGCATGTTGTTAAATCCTTAAAAATGACACATTAGAGAAATTCAAGTATTTTTATATGTTACTTAATAACCCTATCTGGTGCACAAAATCATAGGCTTCTATTTAAAGTATTTATTGCTAAATTAATTTTATGAACCTCTGTTCTCTAATTACCGTTACGCGTGCGGACACCAACGTAATGTTAAAAGTTGGCTGTAATTTTTCTGTCGTATAGATTTAATTTAGAAGTAAATCTCTCATGTAGGAATTAACGAGGGCTTATTCTGCAAAAAAATAATGTTACCAATCAACCGAGCCTCCAGTTTATCATCCTGAACATCCGTGTGTCCCTCCACCCACTCCATCGTAAAAGCCTAGTTGTGTAGCACGGAATCGATCGTGATTTGCCTCTGAAGTGCTCCCATCGTCTCCAGTCACCGTTGACAGACCACTTGTACTTGCTGGTCAGTTCAGAGCATATTGATGTGCTTAGGTCATTATTGACTAAGGCAGTTAAGACAGGAAAATGATGATAATGTAAGCAAGTAAGGTACTAGGTCATCGTCCCGATCATGATTATCAAGTACAGACAGATTGAGTGTCTTTCGCCAAATGTTGGTCTCGAAGCGCTGGTAGGGTAAAAAGATTATGAGACATGTAGAGGCTCCTTAAGAGCAAAATATTTGACGATTTGTAAGAACTATTTAATAATCTATACAAATAAAGAAATTTTGACTTTGACTTTGACTTTTATTAATGTTTATTTTTCTCGTTGTTCTAGATGAGGAGCTGGTGTTCCGCGACCGCTGGGGTGGGCTGACGCTGTTCAACGTTCGCAACTACACCACCAGGCTGCTCATGAACAACTCTACTTTTGTAAGTACCTACTTATTATTATTTTACCGTTGAAGCAGTGGAAATATAGCTAAAGCCCGGTTCGTGAGCACGTAGAATTTTGTCCAATGACCCCTTGCTACCCATCCTTATCGCTCGCGCGTAATTATATTGCTGTCGCGACCTTGCGACTGGCACCCGCAGTGAGTGTGCGAGCGCGATAGCAACATAATTACGCGCGAGCGATAAGGATGGGTAGCTAGGGGTCATTGGACAAAATTCTACGTGCTCACGGGCCAGACTATAGCTACATTATTCCCAGTAATACCTTAACTGTCCAAAAATAATGAAAACGTTGAAATTGTTTTGTCCGTTTTATTAAGCGTCAAAACTGAAAGCAAGAGTCGTGACTCCATCGCGATATTAATGTTAGCAGACTAAAGGTGAGTCGCACTACCTAACTTTAACCGTACTATAATGATAAATTGTATTTTTTGTATGGAATTTGACAGATTTCGGACGTTTTTTAAAGTTAAAGTAAGTGGGTGCAACCCAACCTAAATGTCTGACATTCAACAGACTGTCTACACAAGTAAGTAGTGCGACCAAGACTAACAACAAAACTAAAACATTAATGTATAAAGTGTATTACACAATAAATGCTCTATCTATACTAATATTATAAATGCGAAAGTAACTCTGTCTGTCTGTCTCTCTTTCACGCCTAAACCACTGAATTGATTTTGATGAAATTTGGCATAGAGATAGTTTGAGTCCCGGGAAAGGACATAGGATAGTTTTTATCCCGGTTTTGAAAGAGGAACGCGCGGTAAAATTTTTCTGTGACAGACAAAATTCCACCCGAGCGAAGCCGCGAGTGGAAAGCTAGTTTTAAATATAAAAAACACGACGTTCAAAATGTTCCTAAAGTATTATTATGTTTTGTAAAGTCTAATGGCACAAGGAAGTTTCTCAGACAGCGTTTCACCAAAGTTTTGGGCTTGATTTCCCAATATTACCGCTTACGGCTGCCATAATTTAAATTGCTGAATCCGTAGATTAAGTTCGACGGACGTTTAGGTGAAATTGCGGTTTTTTCCTTGACTGAATATACCAAAAGGATATTATCCTTTTTTATCAAAATACTGATTCACAATAGGGCAAAAGTTACATTTAGGTATCCTTCCGTTTGGCCAAATTACTTTGCGCCAAATACTTCGCAAACAACTTATCGCCAAAGTTTCATTTCCCAAATGTACTTTTCGCAGCTAATTCATTTGGTCAAATTATCATTTGGCAAAATTTTACTTAGCAATAAGTTGTTTTGCCAAATGAAAATTTGCGAAACGTTGTTTGCGGTGTGATAATTTGAGAAACGTTTTTTGGTCAAACATTAGTAATCCGTTACATTTATGATTACAATATTCATGATTTTTGCTTATTTTTCTTCACATTGATCGGGAGTCCAAAAGCTGATCAGCTACTACTACTGTCAAATGACATCTTCTCTGGGGTCTGTATGTACTATATCAGCACTCAATATGTACTTATTATGTCAGCAAGCGACTGCAAAAACATATCATAGCACCTACTACCGCTCTAATCCCTCAATACCTGCCGGGACAGCCGGGACGTCTCAGCCCGATACGTGTTTGCATGGAGAAAGCTTACGGGATTACTGCGCCCGGCTTTTGAAACGCGGGGTACAGTTGGCGAAGATACGTTTCAATAACTTTAATGAATAAGACTCTGTGGAGGTTGAGATGTTTGGTTGCTTCTGAATTCAATTTCTAATGGCCGGTCACGGACACAATATCAATCAATCAAGATGTTTGTAAAGATGCACAAAGACTTTGTGTCTGATACGTGACTATACACTAAAAAAAATGTTTCGCTACCAGGTTCCTAACTACTTTGACTGACTAGCGAACTGAGTGTTAACCTATAGATACCAAACCAGGTTTAGCTTACTACAAAAAAGTTTGTTAATTTTTTACAAAATTTTGTTCCTTATAACCATAGTAACTAGTTAGTAGTAAGTAACCTTCAATTCACTAGTTACTCATTTGTGTAAGCAGTACCTAAACTATTTCAGTGATAATGTGCTATTGACACATGGCAATTGATAATATTTGAACTGATTGAAAAGTTGTTCAAGCTTTCTGTTGTGAATTGCGATACATTGTAAGTAATTATCTTATCAACGAAACTAATCCATTACGTGCGCTATCTTTGCAAAAACTTAAAAGAAATATTACAAACTGTCTATGGAAGTGGTATTTGCGAATTTTGTACAAAAATCTTGTCCAAACTTCTTTTTACATGCCTGTGATCGGCATAAGACAAACTGAACGTGATTCTATGAATGTCATGAATACATATTGGTAAAAATAAAATAAAAATGTTCTATCTTTAACAATTAATTGAAAAAACATTGCCAAATTGGGAAATTAGTTCAGCAGTTCTCGGATTATCTTAGCAACGCTTTTACCGATGAATTTTTATTTAATTTACTTAAATCTAGATACATTTACAAACCTTCTTTTTCCGACTGTACGTCTATATTGATATCGCTCGGGATAAACGCCGGGTCAGGCTGTAATGCGACGCGACAAGATCAATACGAAGAAAGGATTCGCCATGAAATATCACATTTCTTATTAATGGAATGGGCTGGGATCTTTTTCGTGGCATATTATGTTACAAAGACCTTTAGAGATACACATAAAAATATAGGTATTTGTTTGTAACTACCTATATAGTCAATACGAATACCTATAGTTCTCCCAAAGTGGTGGCAGGGCAAGCTATATTTGGGACGTGTACAAGGGCCTACTAAGTACGAGTAAGTACTGAATAAATGAATATCTTACTAATATTATAAACGCGAAAGTTTGTATGGATGTCTGGATGTCAACATGTTTGTTACTCTTTCACGCAAAAAGTATTGAACGGATTTTGATGAAACTTTACAGTATTATTATTTATAACCCAGAATAACATAATTATAGGCTATAATTTAAGACGATCTGTGAACAATAAATTTCATGCTGGTGAAGCCGCGGGCAAAAGCTAGTGTATATTATAGTAAGTAACGCCCGTATTCACAAACGATACTTGCTTAAGTATCTTTTGCTACACTAGCTTTTGCCCGCACTTGCTTAAGTGAAGCGGCAAATCGAACGCACAGCGTTGAATAGAGCTCTGTGATTGGTTCGTGTGTCACCCTGTGCGTCCACGCGCACTGTTAGACCTCATAGTAATTATTGTGAAAACGGACGTACGTCTTTATTGATTCCAAGTATTTAAGTTTCAATCCAATAATTCTGACGAATGAACGACGAACTTTAATATAATCGCCTATACTTACTACTTATATTCGCTTTGCAATAGAGGGAAGTCGAACCTTAACTTCAAACTCCTCCTATGGCCTTCTGATTAATTTCGTTGCGGGTCCAATAACAGTTTAACTTTTCCTTTGACTTGACCTTTACTGGTTGGGTTATTGGCGGTCAAGCTGTAGATCCTGGCTACACAGGAGTTGCAGCAGGAGGTGGGAACGAGAAGTGGGAATACTTAGTCCAATAAGACATAGCAATAGAGTTTGTGGAATGGAAGTCATTGGGGGAGGCCTATGTTCAGCAGTGGACGTCCTATGGCTTAAATCAGCGGTTCCCAAACTTATTTAGTCTACTGCCCACTTTGAGAATAAATAATTTTTAGCGCCCCCCATTTTTGTAGTCAAGAATCGAGCTCAATCGGTGTCTAAGAGTCCTCGTAGAAAATGACGCCTCCCAAGCCTCTACACAACGCCCCCTTTAAGCCTGCAGCGCCCACAAGGAGGCATTATCGCCCACTTTGGGAAAGACTAGCTTAAATGATGATGATGAAGTTTAGGTAAATGACTGTCGCAACATCGCGTCTTTTCTCCTTGTTTTATTAAAGCAAAATTCCTGCGTCTCCTTAAAATATTACGTGCAATTACTTTATAAAACTGTCAATTTGGAACATCGACTCCATTATTTACAGCCACCCTTATGCTAAGCGTATGCAAAAACTCCGAGAGAAACGGCCATAAAGGTGAAAGATTATGTCCTAAGTCAAGAAGAACAGCCAGGAACAGCTGTGCCAAATTACGCATTTAATTTGAATTAATTTCAACAGCAAATGGTTTCTGTACTAATGAAGCTAAAGAAATGTTAATAATTCTAGCGTTCTTATCAGCAAAATCAATTTTTTTCCTTACTAAGTACACATACATATACAGCCCATTACGCAAAGCTTGCATTCAATGATATCCAGATTTCTCGATGATAATAATTTTTAAGACTTTGAATTTCTACAAAACAAAAAGCACTATAATAAATATTATAAAATTTATAGGTAAACTATGTATTGGAATTTTTGAAAGCGCTTTTAAAAAGCCAATTCGCATGGCTTATGTGTAACACTCGCAACAGGTGCCTGAAAATGAAAGCTTGATTTAGAGTTTTTATAGCAATAAGAAGAAATGATACAATATCATGTTACATGAGTAATCGTAGGTATAGTCAGCGTCAAATAGTTCGTGACACCCAAAGTGGCCAAAAAGTTTGCAACACGACCTTTTCTTAGTAACAAAGATGTGTTGCGAAGTTGTTCGCTTCTTTGGATATCACGAATTTGAATTCGTCGGCCGTTTGGTGTAGTGGTTCGAAACGGACTACTATTCCGGAGGTTGCAGGTTCGATTCCCGCACAGTACAAACATTTGTGTGCATGAACATATTTGTTTGTATTGGACTGGGTGTTTTCTACGTATACTTAATATTATGTATGTATTTACAAAAAAAAAGTATTTATGTATGTTTATATCCGTACAAGCTTTGCTTAGTTTGGGACTAGAAGCGCAGTGTAAAAATGTCCAAGGATATTTATTTATTACTATTTTAATTACTTAACGCTGACTGTAACTATGTATTTGAGCTGGCTGTTTTTCTCTAACACCGACAACATCAATAAAGGTGGAAGCACACGATTGCGTATTCACGTCGACATATCTTC